AAAAAATAAAAAAAGCGTTCCTTAAAAATTCAAACATTTCAAACATCTAAATAAATTAAAAAATTTTGAATAAACTTATAAATTATCAAAAAAATCAAATAAAATAAAATAATTTTACATACATTTTTTATAAACATACACAAAAAGTTGTTGTAGAATACGCTCGAGGCCTAATTTAAAAAGCACTTATAGATTTACAGTATGTATTTATAATAAATTATCTATTTGAAATTATTCAAAACAATTAATGATTATTTTCATTTTTGAATGTTGACTTACGGTATGGCAAGTTCCAGCTATTTGCCTTAAGGCACGATGCCATGCGCCCCACTAGCTTGATACAGTCATCGCTTCAAAGTAGTACAAACAACTTGACATTTGAATGTATTTTGTTTTTTTTTCACAAATATTAATTTCAATAGTAAACAGTTTTGGCTTTTTAAAAATGTAAAAATTTTTCGTTGCGAAATGGCGGCTTCAAAAGCGCACAAATTTGATGGGGGTGGACTGTAGCGGAAATACTAGGAGAAGGGGCTTATGGCGAAGTAAGGCTAGTCATAAATCGAGAAACTGGAGAAGCTCTGGCAATGAAAACAATCGACACAGCCAAGCATCGGGATGCTAAACGTGCTGTGCACAAAGAAGTTGTTATACAAAAGTCTTTACGCCACCGAAACGTGTTAAAACTATTCGGACAAAAAACACAAGCAAATATTGAATATATATTCTTGGAGTATGCAGAAGGCGGCGAATTGTTCGATCGAATAGAGCCTAGATTTGGTATGAGAAATAATGAGGCACAGAAATATTTTAATCAGATTTTGTCTGGTTTACACTATTTACATAGGAGAGGTGTAACACATAGGGATTTAAAGCCCGAAAATATACTCTTTGATGATAAAGATAATTTGAAAATTGCAGATTTTGGAATGGCAACCATATTTCGAGTAATGGTCATGAACGCCTTCTTGAGGAGAGATGTGGAACTCGGCCTTACATTGCGCCTGAAGTTTTAACTGGACCTTATAAAGCCGAGCCTGCCGATATTTGGTCTTGCGGGATAATTTTAACTGCCATGCTTACTGGAGAGTTGCCGTGGGATGAAGCCACGTGGAAAATTATGAATATACAGCTTGGAAGATGAACTCTTATACTTCGCTAACGCCTTGGACCAAGCTTGATAATTTAGCATTATCTTTGCTGAGAAAAATTTATCACCTCTTCCAAATAAAAGGATCAACTTAGACACATTAAGAAGTCTTAGATGGTGCGCAATGCAATTCATTAGTGAAGATTCTCAAATATCACACCAAGATGTCGTGCATGAGCCCCCTTATAAGCGATTTTGTGCCTGGCTAAGTATGAAAAAAATAACAGCATATGCTCACTTTCGGCATCTGGAATTGTTCCAATGCTCAAGAAAGTGACACTTCTTCCAGACCTGATGTTTGCTTCTCGCAGCCGGTGCTTATGAATGATATGGTCTTAAGTACTAACTTGAATCTCCCACAAGTGAAAGAAAAAATATGTTGCCTAAGTCAGTTAAAAGAATGACTAGATTCTTTGTTAGCGGAGATACAAAGAGCGTCATTAAGAAGCTTACTAGTTGCCTCGACAAAAAAATGACTTGGAAGGTAAATGAGGGCGTAGTAACAATAAACACCTTAGACAGGCGCAAAATGCCGTTGGTATTCAAAGCCAATATGATAAATGTAACAAAAACTTGTTGATCGACTTCCGATTATCAAAGGGCTGTGGTCTAGAATTCAAGAGAAAGTTTGAAGAAATAAAAAAGAATTTAGCGGACATTATAGTCAAAGCTCCTGTGAGTTGACCAGTAACTTCATGTCAATAATTTTAACACATTTGAATCTTATAAAATAATTGTTGATTATTAAATTTATTGATGTATAATTCAACAATATCCTATCCACAATTATACTGCTTGAAATTGTTTATATTTATTTATTAGTAAAAAGTGTATTAATTTTCTTCAAAAAGTTATGTATGTTTGAACACTTTTAAATAATTTTTGAAATCAGCGTTTAACTATGAAAAAAAATTGTTTTGTAGTAAATTTCATTGTCAATATATATATATATATATATATAATATATATATATATATGTTTGATAAGAATACTAAACATAAATACTTTAAAGATACAATATTTCGCTGTCTTTAACTTCATATTTGATTATGAATTACTATCAAAAATAGGAGTTTGTTATAGATGGGTGAATAATTAGGTTTCTATTACTTTTAACTACGCATTACACAAAAATAGATATAAGGAAATGATCAAAAAATTCAGAAAACATTTTTAGGGGTGGACCTATTAATGAGTTTACGTCAAGAAATGTAACGAAGAATAATAGAGGCGGTGTATGTTTCACAAATTGGTACAGAAAAATAGTGGTGGGTTAATTTTTTTTTTTTTTTTTTTTGTTACAATTTATTTTTGTTAATCAAGACTTTAATGTCTTATTTACAAAATTGATATGAGCAAAAAAAAAAATACAAAAAAACAAAGAATGCAATACATTGAATATAAAATGAAAAAAGTTGAAATAAAAATTAAATTAAAACAGTAATACAAAAATAATAACATAAATGAACGATGACGTGATGATGTATGCCGCGTACTACGTCAGGACGCGTGCAGACATTGGGCTAGGTGTTTGGTAGATCGGAAGGCCATTTCTTGCTCAATCTTCTTATCGGTCTCTGAATCGCTTGAATTGTAGGATTTGTATGCTGGATTAATTTGTTGTTAAAAGATGAACTTCTAATCTTGATCATTTCGTTGACTGTTGAGATTTTCAAATCCTTATGTAGGCAAAAATTCGAAATATACCAAGGCGCATTAGTAAGGATACGCAGAATTTTATTCTGGCACCTTTGAATGATGTTTATGTTAGATTTGCAAGAGCAACCCCATAGTTCGATTCCATAAGTCCAAATGGGCACTATGATAGTTTTATACAAAAGTACCTTGTTATCGAGAGAGATTTCAGATTTCCTCCCAAAAAGCCAGTAAAAATCTTTTATTTTCAGTTGGATTTGTTTCTTTTTATATTCAATGTGCGTTCTCCATGTCAATTTCGAATCAATGTGCATGCCTAAATATTTAACAGAATTGCATAGTGGAATTATTGAATTGTTCATGATGATAGGTGGACTGTTGTGATGTTTTAGAGAAACAATTATGTGCTGAGATTTTTCGATATTGATTTTGATATTCCAATCTAAAAACCATTTTTCGAGACTAGATAAATAATTTTGTAACTGACAAGTTGCTGTTCTAATATCGGAATTGCATGAAATAATTGCTATGTCATCGGCGTAAGTGCATATGGTTAGAAGATCATCTGTGGGCATATCGTTTGTGAAAAGAAGATAAAGTACAGGGCTTAGCACACTGCCCTGTGGTACCCCGCATTCTATATTTCTGATGCTCGAAGTCACATCTTTAATTCTAAATTTTCTATTAAGCAAATATGAGCTTAAGATATTGAAGTAGTTTGGAAAAGTTGTTTTGATTTTATATAGGAGTCCTGAGTGCCAAACCTTATCGAAAGCCTGACTGACATCTAAGAATACGGCTACACTGTGTTCCTTTCTATTCATGGCTTCAAGAATACGAGACACCGTTCTGTTGCATTGTTGAATTGTAGAGTGATTTTTTCTGAAGCCAAACTGATGGTGAGGAATCCAACTATCATTCGGATGATCTTC